GGCAGGCGTTGGGCATCTTGGGACCAGCTCTGCGCCGGCCGCAGGCGCCGCGGTTCCAGGTTCGCGGAGACGTCGGGGCGCGGGGCTGGCGCAGGGCTGTGCGCCCCTGGGCCGCTCGCCTTTCCCAGATCCTCTTTTTTTGGTGGTTGCTGCCCAGCCCTCAGCGGGGGAGGAGAAAAGGAAGTGGTCTGCGGCGCATGGCCAGCCTTCCTCCTGCGGTGGTCAGTTAGTCGATCATCTTTCTCTCAGTCAGGGCCTGGGCTCTGCCGACCCTTTGCGGTTCACGCAGCCTGAGTTGTGGTCCTGGGCTCACTTCTTTCAGGGGAGATCTTGGTGCTGGTTGCCTTGAGAAAGAACTTCTGGCTCCACCAGTCCTTAGACATATAAACCATCCTGGCGGTCGACGCCTCATCCCCAAGTTATCCATCCATTCAGCCAATATTTATTGTGTACCTACTGTGTGCCGGGGCTTGTGCGGGACCCTGGGAATGCAGCTGTGAAGGACAGAGGAAGTCCGCACCTTGGAGGTCCCAAGTCCCACATACAAGATGTCTTTAGGAAAGCCAGGCTGCTCCCAGGTTCACTGAGCTCTCTGCCTCACTCCTGCCTTGCCTGCCACCTGAGGCGTTTAAGGGATTCCCTGCAGGCTCAGGTTCAGCCAGTTCTGCCAGGCTTTCCTGAGGCAGTATCCCGTGGGCCCGGGCCCTAAAAGGCCTTCCCTTACTCCTGAGGTAGTCCCCTGCCCCTGTGGACACTCTTCATAGAGCTGACCACCTGACAGCAGAGGCCTATTCACTGTTGTATTCCTAGCATGTAGAACAGTAGTGTAGGTGTTCACTGTACACTATCCAGTGAGTGACTGATGTCTACTTCATGGAGTTGTGAGAATTTTTTTTTTTTATATCTTTATTGATTTCAGAGAGGAAAGCAGAGAGAGAGAGAGAGAGAGAAACATCAATGATGAGAGTCGTTGATCGGCTGCCTGCCGCACACCCCCGACTGGGGATGGAGCCCCCAACCCGGGCATGTGCCCTGACCAGGAATTGAACTGTGGCCTGGCAAGGAGTTGTGAGAATTAAATAAGCTCCATAAAAACCATTGTTCAGTTGCTGGCAAAGAATAACAGTGGGGTGGCCTAGAATTCCAGGGTCTGGAGAAGCCTTCTTCCTGCAGGCAGAGTTGCTGGGGGACCTGGCCTCTGAGGAAGGAGGCTGCCCGGGCCCTGCTTTTAGATTCTCAGGTGGTCTGGACCTGATCCTGGCCCTTCTTTCCCCAGACGGGTCCCACCCTGGACATGCCTGTTCCCTCCAGCTTCAACGACATAGGACAGGATGGGCAGCTGCGTAGCTTTGTTGGCTGGGTGTGGTATGAACGGGAGGTGACCCTGCCCCGGCGATGGATCCAGGACCTGAGCATAAGAGTGGTGCTGAGGATTGGCAGCGCCCACTACTATGCCATTGTGGTCAGTGCAGCCGGCAGGGCAAGTGGGCAGGTGCAGCTGCTGAGCACTCATGGGGCTTCCTTGGGGTGTCTGGTTCCCAGCTGTCACCTGACAGCCTGCCTCCTGGGGTAGATGGGGGGAAACACTCATGCCCCACACTGGGGAGGGTTGCCGAATTTCTACTGGAGCTCCATTCCTCCCCTCGGGCTGGTGAGGCAAGTAGAAGCTGGCAGGGCACCTCTGTGTGAGGGACTACCTGAGAGGCAGAGCCCCTTCCTCATATTTTCCTGTGTCTGCAGTGGGTGAATGGGGTCCATGTGACAGAGCATGAGGGGGGCCATCTTCCATTCGAGGCTGACATCAGCAGGCTGGTCCAGAGTGGGCCCATGTCCTCCTGCCGCATTACCATCGCCATCAACAACACACTCACCCCCCACACCCTGCCGCCAGGGAACATCCTCTACAAGACGGATACCTCCAAGTGAGCAGCTCCCTGCTCCCCCACCCTGCCCAGTGGTCTTCCCACTAGGGACAGGGTAGCCTTGGCAGAGGTGAGGTTGAAGGCCTCAGGGCAAGATCCCAGTTGGCCATTTTCCTCCCACTCTAGGTACCCCAGTGGTTACTTTGTCCAGAACACAAACTTTGACTTCTTCAACTATGCGGGACTGCACCGGCCAGTGGTCCTCTATACCACGCCCACCACTTACATTGATGACATCACTGTCACTACCAGCGTGGACCAAGGCACTGGTAAGGGCTTCTGGCAGGATCTGCCCTTGGCCAAACCCAAAGTGGCTCTGTTTTCTGTTTGGAAAGATGCCCCAGGAGAAAGGCTCTTCCAGCATCTCTTAATCTTCACAGGTTCCCGTTTACCTAAGAAGCTAAAATGCAGCCTGTGTAAGCTGGGGAGGGTTTCCAAAATACCCACCTGCTCTGACCTCATTTTATGAGGAAATAGGCCCAATGAGAAATGGGGGTCCCATGTCCCTTCCCTACTGTGCTGGTCTCACTCAATCTCTCCTCACTGCAGATCAAGCTCAACAAATAATTGTTGGTTGGAGTCTCAGGGCCTAAAGGGACTCCTTAGAGTGGTGGCGTCAGATCCTCTTATCTGTATAACCCAGGCCATGTCCTTCCTCCTCTCTTCTCTGATCTCTCTTGTCTCTCACAGGGATGGTGTATTACGAGATTTCTGTCCAGGGTGGTGAACACTTTGAGCTGGAAGTATATCTTCTGGATGAGGAAGGCAAAGTTGTGGCCCAGGGGTCTGGGGCCCAGGGCCCACTGCGTGTGCCCGATGCCCACCTCTGGTGGCCGTACCTGATGCATGAGCATCCTGCCTACCTGTACTCATTGGAGGTAATGGTGGTTAAGACTGGGGCTATGAGAGGCCTTTTGCCCCCTTCCAGTAGCCCTACCTGACTTTAGCAGGGGTGGAGGACAGGTGGGCAGGCAGGCATGGTCCTCTGAACTTCCTAGTCAATTGGACTGAAGTGTTCACAGCTTAAGTTTTTCAGCCCTTGGTGGGGCAGCCCAGATTTGAAGAGCAGGTCCTAGGTGCAAGGTGGGGGGAAGAGTTCCTCCTTGCTAATGGCAGAAGCCTGTGATGTCTCAGTCTTTTTGCTTGTGTCCTAGAGGTGGGCCACTGTGGTTTACAACGGGCCTTCCTACTGATGGGCAGCTGTGTGGGGCTCAGGCCATTGAGGATGCCTCATGCCAGTGCTTGGCTTTCATAGGTGAGGCTGACAGCTGGGCCCTTGTCTGACTTCTACACTCTCCCCGTGGGGATTCGCACTGTGGCTGTCACAAAGAACCAGTTCCTCATTAATGAGAAACCTTTCTATTTCCACGGGGTCAACAAACATGAGGATGCAGACGTGAGTTGGGGCTCCTGGGTCCCTGTGGGGGCTGTTTCTCATCTTTACGTTCCCTATGCACCGGAAGTGGTTGAAGGCAACTCAGAGCCGTTAAGCTAACAGCTCAAAACTGCTGCTTGATGGGGCCTGTGCTTGGCTGGATAAAGGGCTGATGGGTCCAACTCTAAAAGGAAGTGCATCTTGGACAGGGACAGGGGTTGGGGGTCACTCTACTCTGCTGTCCCCTAGATCCGAGGGAAGGGCTTTGACTGGGCACTGCTGATGAAGGACTTCAACTTACTTCTCTGGCTTGGTGCCAACGCCTTCCGTACCAGCCACTACCCCTATGCTGAAGAGGTGATGCAGCTCTGTGACCAATATGGGATTGTGGTCATCGATGAGAGCCCTGGCGTGGGCATTACGCAGAGGTGAGTGCCCACTGCCCATGCTACTCAGCCTGACACCTTGGCAGGTAATGACACTCCCTTTTCTCCCCTCCCCATAGCGAGAGCTACAACAACCAGTCTCTGGAGCACCACCTGAAGGTGATGGAGGAGCTGGTGCGCAGGGACAAGAATCACCCGGCCGTCGTGATGTGGTCTGTGGCCAATGAGCCCACTTCCTTCCTAAAACCTGCAGGTTACTACTTCAAGTGAGTGCCTCCTTCTGCCCTGGCCTGGGTCAGGGAAGAGACCCTACCTTCGGCCTGGCTCAGCCTTGGCTGGTGGCCATTGGAGAGCTGAGGTCTCCCTGAGGTGGGTGTGTGCTATTCGAGAACCAGCATCCAGCTCCCAGCCCAGACTTGAGTATATCCAGACCTGGTCAGTTCAGGGGACCAGATCCCTACCCATCTCAGTTGTAATTTCAACTCAGTGTCCTCTTTTCACACCTGAAATGAAATCCAGAGGTAATCTAACCTGTGATATAAAGGAGAGTCATTTATAAAATAATACATGACTGCATGGGCCTGACTCCCTAGAAGACCCAGTGAAGAGGTCTGATGCCTACACCTACGTGTGGAATCCCCTGAAAGCATAGCTCCAAAAGCCGACAGCACAAGCAGGTCCTTCAGTGCCACACATTTCCAAAATGGTGAACACTCTAGGTAAAGTTCCAAACAAAACCAAGTATAATCTTCCCTCACTTTTAATGGTATCTTCATTTCTGAGAAATTTAAAACTTCAAAAAACCCACTTTGTGATGCTTTGGGTTCATCTGTAAAGTGGAAGTTAGGCTTCATAAAACCAGCTTATCTGCCCACATAATTATGAACAGATTTTTCAGCGACATGTTTATTCTAACTATTCTAAAGTTACATTATTGGACAGGACCAGACCATCTAAAGTTCATGGTTCCAGTAGGTCCTCCCTCCTTGCCCCCCCTCACTGCAATGGGAAGAAACACCACTTGGGGGCAGTGTTTCTGCAGTGGGAGTGTCTGGCCCCCTGGGATGTTCCTTGGTTCCTTCTTTTTCTTACAGTCCTGCCTGTTGTAACTTGGCCTGCAGTTCAAGCTCTGCAAGAGGCCATCCAAACACTCCTGAGGCAGGGTGCATGCCAGTTTCACTAGTGCTCTGAGCTGAGCCACGTCTGTAGGAGGCTCTGGGGAGTGACCCACCTGGGCAAGATGACCCACAGCTCTGAACACGCAGCCCCAGAGTGCGTGGGGCACAGGGGTGTGTTGAGCCAGGGCTGGTGGACAGAATTTTTGTTGTGAGGGTGAAAGGAGTTTATGTAGGCTTGGGAACGGGTGCCTGAGGTTCAGGCTTTTTTGAGAGGTGGAAGGAGGGAGATGCATGATTTTTGGAGCAGCCAGGACGGGGCAGGACGTGGATAGAGCTGCCTGGGCTCAGTTAGGCTTTGAAGCTTCCCAGGTGACAAACAGGCCACTTCAGAGAGTGGGTTTGAGACTTGGGGGTAAGGGTTCTTGTTTTGGCCTGTGGAAACCACAGCCTTCAAATGAAAAGAGCAATTATGGGAAGCAGCTGTAAAGAAAACTAGTGGTGAGGAGAGAGGAGAGAAAAATAGGTTTAAACAGTGATTGCTGGTGACCTGTCCCAGGAGACCTCTAACAGGTTCCTCTGTTGCAAAGCCTCTTCTTGCCACCCCTCCTCAGTTAATGTGGTTCAGTATTAATGCCATTTCTTCAGATAGGCTGACACTGACTCCACTGTCAATTATGTGCCCTGTTATTGTCTCTTAGAACCCTCTCTCCTGCTACTATTTATAGTTGCAATTTCTAACATCTGCCAGTGTCTCTGCTCCCCCTCCTCCATGAAGCTATGGTGTAGCTGTTGAAGTCTCTAGCAAGTGCCCCGCACACAGCACACACCCTACCTCCCAGCCCCACTCCCTAATTATTTGTTAAATTAACATCCATCCTAATCCACACTCCATCCATTTCTGTTGTCAAGAGCTTTTTCAGAGATTCAGAACCAAGTTTTTGGCAGTGCCCAGCCCCAAGGACCCAGCTCTGTGTGCCTGCTTTCCTTGTGAGGTTCCCTCTTCAGGGAAGGGGGATAGGATTTGGGGAGGGAGAAGGAATGATGTCAGGGAACATGATCTCAGACTAGAGGAACATGATTGCTTAGAGGTAGGAGGAAAGCAGTGGGTTTGGGGGGGGAAGGTGGGAAGGAGGGTATGAGAGGTGGTTGGTAGCCCTTCCTGGCCTGACAGCAGCCCTGTCTTCTGCCCTCCGCAAACAGGATGCTGATTGCACACACCAAAACCTTGGACCCCACCCGGCCTGTGACCTTTGTGACCAACTCCAACTATGAAGCAGACCTGGGGGTGAGTCTGGGGGTTCCCCAAACCTCTCGTTTTCTCTGCCCTGTTCTCTAGTCCTGCCTTGATGCTCCATTAAACACCATGTATGGTACAGGCCTCCTGACACGGGGCCCGGCTCATTAGGGGAATACCCTGAAGAGCAGGAGCCTCAGCAGCAGGAGGGGAGCTCCTTGGCTGGCAGGAGCAGAAGAACCCTGAGCTGCTAGTCCAGCATTTCTGTACTTGGGCTTTAGGTCAAAGATAACTACCCACTTGTTCACCAGACAGTGTGACTTCCTAAGTCCAAGGAGGCTGGGCACAGGGAGATTTAATATGTTCTCAGTTCAGGTTCTAGGTGCCTCAGTTTACTTTTATGCACCTCAGTTTGTTTTGTTTTAAATATGTCTTTATTGATTTCAGAGGGAGGAAGGGAGAGGGAGAGAGAGATAGAAACATCAATGATGAGAGTCGAGTCGTGGATCGGCTGCCTCCTGCACGCCCCCTGCTGGGGATCGAGCTGCAACCCAGGCATGTGCCCTGACCAGGAATCAAACCTCGATTTCTTGGATCACAGGTTGATGCTCAACGGCTGAGCCATGCCAGCTAGGCTGCACCTCAGTTTATTGTGCTCATAAAGTAGCAAAGGTTTAAGGGAGCCTAAAGTCGTCATTGTCCATTGTTTCTCAAACCTGGCTGATGGTTAGAACCACTAAGATGTCTGGATATTGATTCTGATTTAGTCAGTCGAGGGTGGGAATCTGAGTCGTAAAAAGCTCTTCAATGACTCCAGTCATCAGCCAGCTTTGGGAACCGCCAACTAGATCCAGACTGAGAATCAAAGGGCAGGCTCCCACAGCTAGCTGGACCGATGGCCTCCTTCACTGTGCCCGGGTACAGCAGCCCTCATGAGCCATGTGTTCAGCTGCACCGAAGCTGAAAAACATGGGCACAAAGAAAATGCTCCTCTGGAGAGCTGAAGGCTAGTACTTAGGTGGGAAGTGCTGCAGAAAGAAATTATCTAAGAAAAGAATGGGTGAGAAAACACTCAGTACAAATATAAATTGTGAACACTCATTTTAACATGAATGGAAAAGGCTTGTAGCTCTGGGCCCTGGTGCTCCCTTGCCATCTGTCGAGACTGCCCCCTTTAGAGAAGCCTAAAGACTCGTGAGACACCACCAGGGCATAGGCAGCTCCTCGTGCTCTCAGAGCCCAAGCGGCATCTCCCATTCTAGTCACTTATGTGGACAGGGATGCCTGTGCCTGGCCCCAGAAGGCTGTCAGACTCATCTGGCCAGTGTGTGATCCATGTGTATGTGTCCACCCAGAGGTCCCTGCCCCAGCTTCCTCTTCCTGTCTGCATTTTCCCACCACCACCGTTTGGAAAGAGGCTACAGTCACTTGGGAAAGACAGGCCACGTAGTCCTAGCGCAGGCTGTGGGGGCGAGCATGGGCTCAGGTGACTTTAGAGACTAGCCTTTGGCTGCCTGGTCTTTGCTGCTGAGTCCTGAGCTCTGCACTGTTTAGACTTGAGGCAGTCCCGCCCCGTCCTCTTGGCTACCCTGCTAGGAGGGAATTTTCCAGCCGCTTCAGGGCCCACAGCACTAGCTTAGGAACTATGGGGAATCGAGATTCTTTGTGAGGAGAAAAGCTGCATCTGTCCCTCAGTTGGGAACATTTCTCCAAGGCCAGATGAGAGAGGATCAGTAACAGGAGCACTAGCTAGAGTGGGAGAGAATCCAGGCAGGACAGGCCCCGGGCTTCCACTGAGGCCAGCTCCCTGGGCGCCTGCTCTGCCTCAGCCCTTGCCAGTGTCGCGACCAGGTCAGGAGCATCAGTCCAGGAATGTAGACTTGCTGCACTCAGGTGGCTTCTTGACTATATTTCCTGTACACATGAGCATCTAAATCATTTTCTGTGTCCCCTCTTCACCTGCTCTTCCAGAAGAGCCCCGAGTCTGAGTCCTAACACTGTTACACAATCTTCTGGCTCATGAACGAGCTTTAACGCTCTTGTCCTAGGCACCGTATGTGGATGTCATCTGTGTGAATAGCTACTACTCCTGGTATCATGACTTCGGGCACCTGGAGGTGATTCAGCTGCAGCTGGCCACCCAGTTTGAGAACTGGTATAGGACCTATCAGAAGCCAGTTATTCAGAGCGAGTATGGAGCTGACGCCATTGCCGGGTTTCACCGTGTAAGTAGTGCAGAACATCCTGTTCGTTTTTCTGCTTTCTTGGGCCGTAATGTCACTCATTGCCCCAGGTTAGAAATGTGCCTCATTCCCCATCCCTTACCTGTCCTGATGATCTCCCTCCAGACCCACCCAGCCTGCCCCTCTGTACTCCCAGCTGCCTGCCACTCAGGCCTCCCCTAACTTGCTTGGTCCTCAGAGTCAGCCTCTTTAAAGCCGATTGGCCTCCTTCTGCCTGGAATGCCCTTGTTAGCACCACAGTTGCCAACCAGTGCATTCTTATTCTGTGTTCAGGCCTCAGCTTAGATGTTCCCTCTCTGGTGAGGTTTATCCCACCTTCCCAGCCAGAGGAGGCGTCCCTCTGCTTGGCCGCCGTCTTGCTATTTCTCACTGCACAGTCATCCTTTCTTTTTCTCTCTCCTTGACCAGACTGGGCTCCAGGAGGTAGACTGATTCCTATTTCCCGTTGCTTCCCAAGCACTCAGCAGTGGTCAGCACACAGTGGGTGCTAAACAGTATTTGTTAAGGGAATGAATGGAATCTCGGAGCACATTGTAATCACTAGCTTTTTCTCATTGTTTTGTCCATTCCCTTACCAAAGATATGCTGCTTTGTCTTGTGGGGACATTTTTCATGTGGATTCTTGAACCACAGCCACCCCATGCTCGCCATCACAGCTACTGGGCTTTGTTGGCACACATTTCTTAATTAATACGCTGATTCTTGGTATGTGGAAGAGCTACCCGTATGAACTGTATTATTCTGTCCACTCCCTTAAATTCATCTTGCTTACACAGAGTACCACTTCTACAATCTGGTAAGGAGGGAACTAGCTTATGAAGACAGTGTCTGTGCACATTTAGTCTCCCTGTTTGAAAAGGTGCCAACTCTGAATTTCTAAGAAATTCTTAGAGTCTAGGTTCAGCTGTCTGCTAGAACCTTTGCAGCGATGGAAATGTTTTATATCTGCACTGTCTAAAAGGGTAGCCACTAGCCACATGTGGCCTTTGAGGACTTGAAACGTGACTAGTGTGACTGAGCTGATTTGGTTTAATTGAGGTTTAAATTTAAATAGCCATGTGTGATAGTATAGACAATGCAGGATCATTTCTATGAAAGCAAGAAAATCTACGTTTTGCCCTGCCTTCAGATTCAACTTTGGAACTAGAACAAAATACGCCTCAATTGTACAGTTTTATTTTCAGTGCATCTTACATAGCATTTCAGTCCTTCTCATTGGAAAAGAAAGGCAAAGGGTTTTGTTCTCTCACAATTGACTGGACTCCTGCATCTTTCAGCATCTAAGATTTGAGCCCCTCCAGATTCCCAAGAGATGAAAACTCAGACCCGAGAACATTTATTTATTTTTAATCCTCACCGGAGGATAATTTTTCCATTTAGAGAAAGTGGAAGGGAGGGAGAGGGGCGGAGAGAGAGAATCAATTGGTTGCCTCCCACACCCACCCGACCTGGGCCTGGGATCGAACCTACAACCCAGGTGCATGCCCTTGACTGGGAATCAAACTTGGGACCCTTTGGTCCACAGGCTGACATTCTAACCACTGAACAAAACCAGCCAGGGCCCCCAAGAACATTTAAAAGATCTTATATCTTAGTACAGGACACACAGGAGCTCTTCACCAATATTGGATGAGTCCATAGATGTTGCCTTCTGCTTTTGTTGTGTGTTGCAGGCCTTAGCTTAAATAGTCCTCAAGGAAGCTTTCTGTGGCCTGTCCCAATTAGCTCCTTCAGCCAAACATCCCCAGCTCCCGCCTTGCACCCTCCCCACTCACCCTCCTTACACTTACAAAAGCCTGTGAGGGCAGGGCCACTTACCTTTCTTGGTTATCACTTTATCTCTAATGCCTGCCCTGTAAGCAGATACTAAATGATTATTTGTTGAGTGGATAAATGTGCTAAACAGGAGCTACTACCCAGACCAGATAGAGATGAATCTGAAGTGAGTTAAATCTGAGTCACACTAGTTTTCAAATTATACAGTGGCAGCTACTGAAGACTTGAGCTTTAAATTTATTATTCAAAGACATTTTTACTTCCAGCGTAGTTCAGCTGGTGAAGAGAGATGGAAAAGGTAAAGCAAGTATCAGATTATGTTTATAAAGAAAGTGGTTACTAATTAAGGTTTTTAAAAAAACCTCCTTTTTTGACTCTGGGCTATGTCATACCCTGGCTGTCTCTATACCAGCACCAGCAAGTCCTGCAGTCCCTGCAGCCCACCCTGAGGACAGATATTTCAGTCATCATCACATGGATCTTTATCTGACATTTATAATTCTGCCAGTTCTGACTTNCAGCCCACCCTGAGGACAGATATTTCAGTCATCATCACATGGATCTTTATTTTTATCTGACATTTATAATTCTGCCAGTTCTGACTTTTAAATTCTCTTTGCCTTGAATCCCAGGACCCACCTATGATGTTCAGTGAGGAGTACCAGAAAAGTGTGCTAGAGCAGTATCATGTGGTTCTGGATCAAAAACGCAAGGAATATGTGGTTGGAGAGCTCATCTGGAATTTTGCCGATTTTATGACTGACCAGTGTAAGTGGCAGTTTGGTTTATGGAATGTACCGTTTCTGATTTTTTCAGGTTGGCCTTTCAGTTCAGGACATTTGGTGGTAAGAACACTGGAAACAAGAGGGGGAAGCTGATGTAATCCATGTAGGCTACATAGAGTATTTCCTAGGAACAGTCAGTTGCATTTAGCAAGCAGTAATTGCTTACCTGCTTCTCCGGTCATTTTATGATAAAAAAAAAAAGCAAATGGGAGATCCTACTATCTTGAGGCACATGGCTAACTTGTCTGTTTCATAACAGTATGAGGAAAAAGTGGGCATTTTGGGATATAGTCATTATTCCAGAGTAGGGCACAAATTTCAATCTGGATTGTATTACTCACTTGTCCACGCAGTTTCCCTGAATACAGGGAATGGTCAGAGCATTTTGAATGTGGCAGTGTTCAGATGTCTTCCAAGAGAATACTGTCTGTGCTCTTTTCTCAAGTGGGGATACATGGGGCTACTCCAGATCACTAGTTTCTTGATATACTATAAACTCAGGATGGCAATTTGGGGCGTGGGGAAGGATTTGGTAGTAGTGGGAATTACACTACATTACTTATGGGGAAAAACAGGTCTTTGGAAGGTTAAAGTTTAATTAAAAATTAGAAATGGAAAGAGGTAAACAGAAGAAAGAATGAGAACATGAGCCTTTACTCTGCTTGGCTTCTGGAAATACTGTGGATGGCAGTGTAGTTTCCTAAAGAGGTGCACCTGCTTTGTGTAGTGAGAAGTTAGCTTTGTGACCTTGCACAAGTGACCTAACTTTCATATACCTGTAAAGGGGATAGTGCCCACCACCTCTGCAGGTTGATGTAGGGATTCCATTTGATGGAGTGCTTGGTACAGTGCCTGGCATTTGCTTACCATGGAAGAAATTACTATTGTCTTGAACTTCTTGGTGGGAAAGACCTACTTTTGGTTTCATGGAAGCGGTGGTTTCACGAGGCCTGGAGAGAGGTTGTGCTGAGAGCACAGGCTGTCGCCACCTCTGCTCCCTTTCCAGCTTCAAGCTCTGGCAGACCACCCACCAGGAGTGGGGACCCAGCTGGAAGGCCACTGGGACAACTTTGACATCTATAGTAGATCCTACCTAGGCACCTTTGGCTGGTCAGGACTCTAGCTACCACTAGGAGAGTCATCTTTCTAAGGGTAACTTTTCATCTCAGCCCCCTCCACTTACCAGGCAGCTGGGTACCCTAATGTTTTAGACCTTAGTTTGCAAGTAAAAGATAAACAATTTTGGATAGTTTTCCATAACAGGTGAAAAATTAACACCAGAGAGCTGAGGTGTTTTGGGGAGCAGTAGTAGTTAAATCTTTGACCTATTAAGTGGCCATGTCAGACCGAACAGCCCTAAACTACAAGAGGGTATTTTACTTAATGTCCAGCTGTGCTCCAGCTTGGCCCATCAGAAGTCATCTTTTGCCTTGTTTTTTAGCACCATGGAGAGCAATGGGGAATAGAAAGGGGGTCTTCACTCGCCAGAGACAACCTAAAGGTGCAGCGTTCCTTTTGCGAGAGAGATACTGGAAAATTGCCAACGAAACCGCGTACCACCTGTCAGCTGTGAAGTCATGGTACATGAGGAAGACCCTGTTGACTTTGTAAAGCAAGAACTACCTCTTGACTGATACCAGCTGTCAGCGCCTCCTTCCCAGGTGAGGGCCAACGTCTACAGCCAGCAGAGAAAGTGCCTCCTGGACTGTGTGTGGAAAGTTTCCGGTCTGGATTTTGTAGTCATTTGCTAGAAGGGAACATTAGAAGTGAAAATAAAGGCTTTTGTAGTCTGTGAACTAAGAATTGGCTTAGAAGCTACCATTCCATAAATTGATGATTTGTACTTCCGAAAAGCATCTGAAATTATTTTTGTGTCAAGTTGTCCGCATAGCCTTCACTGGGTATGGACTTGCGAGAGCGTTGGCTTCACCACGCACACCGTGTTCAGAGCTGCTGGTTCCAGGCTGTGCCTCACAGGAATAGCCCTGCTGCCTTAGGGCCACCCTGTGCCTGTACCAAACCAGGCCAGTAAAAGACAACGGCTGTAAAACTCCGCAGATGAGCTGAAGTCCCAACAATTCACAGAAAGTGATTATCATGCAGGAACAACGTCCATGTCCTAGTATCCACAGTTGAGTTCAGTCTGAATTGGAAGGGAGCTCAGAGGTTACCAGTTCTTCCAGGACATTGTCATCCTCAGTCATAGTCTAGTCCTCACAGAAGTGGAGATGGGCCTAAAAGCCCATTGACCTCATCATTGATCCCACTGATTCGTGGGAGACCTCTGAACAGGCTGGGCCTGTGGACAAGTACAGTGGGCCCTTGAACATGGGTTTGAACTGCGTGGGTCCACTTTATACTGACCATGCAGTTCAAACCGCTTGCCCAAGGCTCAGCCCCGCAGTTGGGACTGAGTGTGCAGAGAGGGCTACTGTAGTTACATGTGGATTCATGCTACATGAGGTTGGCCCCCTAAGCCCCGCGTTGTTCGAGGGTCATCTGTACTCCCAGCTCTCAGATGGTGGTCTTTCCTTACAGAATTGTCTCTCTTCTTCATCGGCTCCTTTAAGGCAAGTAAGGTACATTACTCCTAAAATTTCAGTATTCATCTGTCCTGGTTTAAAGCTGAATGCTTTGGAAAAATACTCCTTATTGGTGTCTAATCAAATGGAGGACCGTACACCAATACAGTTCTTCATACAGAACTGGATTCACTTCCCTTGTAGTTGACTTCACGTGTGAACACCCCCCCTTTCACTCCCTTCCCAAGCTCTATGACAGGAACAGTCAAGGTAATTTGACCTCATTTTAGTGCCATCTTTAGACCATTTTTAAGAAATGCAAGCGTAGTCAGTTCAAATAACAAATTAGGAATTCTAGGGGTAACATTTTTTTTTTCCAACTGAATTTAAGTTCGTTGAAGGAATCAAGTTTTATGTTCTGGTTTAAGGTCAAGGAATAATATATAAAACTCTTTAGTTGACAAACATTAAAAAAATATTAAACATAACAGATATACTTAAATGTTTTACAAACTGGGGGTAAGGCCCATTTCTTTTTCTTTTTTTAAATCTTAGAGCAGAGGCGTTTATAGCTTTATTGGACATTTTGTTTCCTCTCAGCCACAAAGAAAAGGACCCAAACAAAAGTCCGTACATTTTCTTGTATAACTTAAAACAGATTTAACTTTCAGAGTTTTCCACTAAACAGTACCTGGGAATCACAGCTAAGGAGTATATAATTCTATATAACGTATTACAGATTTTAAAAAATGTGTTAAGACTTAAAATTAAAAAAATAGTCAATTCTGATAGTTAATGAGTTAATAACCTCTGTATTTTTTAAAATAGAACAATCCATTCAACTTAACATTTAGTACAACTTCAGTGCTACTAGAGATTGATTCTTTTTTTTGAAGACCCACAGTCCTCCAAACTGTCATAGTGTTTTGGACTCACCTCTGAAAAACATGGGAGAGGTGGCTAATTCTTTGATCTGCGTCTGTCTTCCCCCCAAGTATAATACCCTGGTCAGAGAATTATGGCTCTGGGATTTCAGGGGTGACCTCCCTCAGGACTATTCAGAGAGGGGCAAGAGGCTAACTCACATAAAACAGCTTTGTACCAAACCCCTGATAACAAATGGAATAAATACCCACCTGCTTATGGTGGGGTACCAGTACCCAGCACAGTGCCTTGTGGGTAGGAAATGTTTAGTAAATGAACACCTTCTTAGCTCGGTGTCCCACCCTTTTGTACCAAAGGCATAAAACAGCAAACCTGGTATTTGCTGCCCACCTATCAGGGATTTTATTCTTTAACAAAGATGAAGGCAAAATAATGAATTAGATCTTCAAGTCTTTTAGCCTTTTGTTTTCTAAAAGCCAAAACAGACCATTGCCCTTTTACGTTTGCCCTTCAACACTGCCATTCACTGCAAATTCAGCCCTAGTGTTCTACTTTCAGAGTTTAAGACTGTTTATTGTTTACTGTCCACTTTCTAATGACACGTGGGAGAACATGATTTTCACTGGAGATGCCTCCAAATTACAGACGGTATGCTGCTTTTTGGGTTTTCCTGCAGGTAGACAATGACACTTAGGTAAACTCCTGCTACACTTCAGTTCTTGGATCGAAGTATTTTTGTCTCCCCTGGTCCAGGCGTCCCACTTTTGATGCCTTATCACCATCACTTCTAAGCAGAGTTTTAAGGCTCATCTGACTTGCAGACTTTTAGTCACCCTTTATTATCTGTTTTCTGAAATGAATGTCCAACTCAAGGAAGAGGAAACGGCTAAATTCTGAAAAGATGGTTTCAGACTATACTTCCCATGCTGCCCTTTATGTAAAAGGGCCTGTATCCTTGCAAAGAACATTCCAGTGATCAACACAAACGATGTATCTATGACGCCCATTTCTTAAGTCCTGAGGTTCTAGCACAGAACAATTTGTTCTATTCAATAAAACACGGCTGAATTATATTTCAAATGGGTGCATCTTTCTTGCAGATGTTACTTTTGTAGAAAACTAAAAATGGAGTATTCAGGGTGAGCTAAAGCAGTGGGAAAACAGCTGATGAATACATTCTTTGTGCTTACAGAACTGTAAGCAACACTTTTTTCATTAATTCTTGATAACCACATACCCCATAAACTTACAGAAACTCCAGGAACCAGAATCTCTAAGAATTCTGCTTGTGTCTTTTGTACGTTACATATGATTTAAGAGAAAAAGAATCAACTCAGTACACCCGTAGACATGAGGCTCCACATGGGGGTACTTCCAGAATGGTTTCTAAGAGTGGCTTTGTTTCAGCTTCCTTTTTGAATGTGACACTGCGGTACAAGAATGATGGCAGCAGAGCTTCCACAGGTAACATCTACATTTATTTTATACCAAAAAAGTTATGTGCAACAAATAAACATTCTTACATATTTACATTTGTTTTTACCAGTTAGCAAAACTGTGTCCTAATCTCTGATAAAGAATATTCCTATCTATATTAAAGGGGAAGTCTGCCCAGTGAACCCCAGTTTAAATGAATGCTTACTCTGGAGTTTAAAGCACTAGTAATAAATATTTTTGATGGAACATACTCTACAGATCATATACCTCATACTTAGGCCATGCGTAATACAGTTTTATAACAAAACATTTCACCTCTTCTGGGTTAATTTGTCAAAAATGTTTAAGTGGCCTGGACTCCCCCACACACACCCCTTTTGTTTTATCGAAGGGTAGTTCTCATAAGTGAAGAATCATAAGTGCTGCCTAACATGTTTGAATAGAGAGATGTTTTACCAGTGTTTGCATGTTGGGGGAAAACACATGAGGACAAGGCTGCACATTAGGTGCTCCTTCCCAAACAGGTTACCAAAAAAGGTAGTGGGTTTCTTGTTGGCATCTATTTAACACTGATGCCACTGATTTTCAAGATCTGTCGGCAGTGCCTGGTATCAAGCAGTGGTACCAATCTAAGTTACTAAGTAATTGCTGAAGGTAACTGCACTTTTGCTGACAGTCTTTAAAGTAAATATAAATGAAATAAAAGCAAACTAACGCCAACAAATCATTTTCATTTCACTGTAGTCTTGGTCCTCTATCCTACCTAGTAGGTCCAAAGATCTCTTGTACCAAAAGATCTTTGTCTCTTTGAATGAAAATAGTCAATGCTTTTGCCTCTTTAAAAGTTAAGGAGAGGCTACATACATCAAGTAAAAGTAATTCCTGGCACACAGCTAGTTAAACCTGAGTTATTTCACAAGTTTACCCTCACTGACAGCAACTAGCTGCAACAAAAAACCAAATGAAGTTCTCCAAACCACCTAGACTCCCTAGGATTTATCATGTAACCACAACTTATTTCTTCAAATGATGTGACTATCAAGTTAATAAGAGGCTTCATTTGTTACGAATCATTTCAAAAAACAAGCAGCATGGAATTACTGGCAAAAACAAATTCAATTTTTTCCCTAATCTCTTCAATGTTGGTAGCTAGTAATTTTGCAATGTTTAAATATTGTCTAAACTAGTCATACTACTACTCAAATTTTACAACATGGTGTTTTCCTCCTTTTCTGGGGTGCTGTAGAGGATGTGGAGGGGAGCCGAAACCCTTCCAGGGCACAAACACCAAACACCGTAAGTTCTGTTGCTTACTGATACCGGCATTACAATGCTGTTAGTTCAGACAGCACATGGTCATCGCTCAGTGAGAAAAACGTTATTAATTCGGGGTCATAGGAATGTGGCAATTTTTTAATATAACTGAAAGAGTGGTGTTTTCCCCCAGGCTTAGGAAAACAAAGGAAAAACTTGAAGGGTCTGGATGAACATTTTCACATTTTCTCTTTGAGTTGAAGACAAATATTTCCAAGAGGGCAACATCAAGACAAGCTTTAACTATACTCTGCTGATTGGTACAAAATATGATAAAAAAAAACAAACCACTTTTAAATTGGGACATGAGGAACTTATTTAGCACAACCAGTGTTATGTATACCACAGAAATCTTAACCGTTAAGCCATTTCCACTGTAGCTTAGAGAAGAGAACCAGTCAACGGCTCGGTGGAACTGGAAGCACTGCTACGGGACCTCATTGTACAGTTCACTTCAACATTAGGACTTGTTTCTCCATAAACACGAGACATCTAACTGATGCTTTCTAGAGTTCTTTAACTACAGAAATAAGAACAATACATACATAATAAAACAGGCATTGAAATATTCACATTCATGGGAAACATCAGCCTGGATGAAATCTGAATTAAGCTCTCTTTTAACAAAACTGGTTTAAACTCACTCATAGTTCATTACAATTCAGACTTTACACCTGCCTTGGACCAGAAGAATACATTGCATCAATTATGACAGTAAGTTGGAAACAGTTGCTGACTCTACACATACGGTTTACAGAGCAGAGCCTGTCCTTTCCTTTCAAAAAGGCAAATAAAGCACTTAAATTACGGTCTATTTTTAACATAGTGATTCATCAAGTTGGAAGCAATACTGCTACTACTTCTCAATTTAACTAATAAAATGATCATACAGAACCTTTAAATAGAATGCAAGTTACCTACTTCATGCTAAGAAAGGAAGGACACTTCTGCCCAAGTTCAACACACAAAATATTTGGTTTGAGATTTAAGACAGAAGGCACTTTTAACATTTTGATATAAGGTGTTAACCATAGAAACATACTGTCACAATTTTATTTGGGTTTATTCAATTCACTTTTTAAACTTCTGCATTTGTGTGGTTATTAGAGTACTGACAACATTACTGTATTTCACTTTCAGGTATTTCTACCTGTAGTCCTCCCAATTAAGCAAACTGAGCAGTGTGCTCTAAAGTTTACAAATCCAATATTTGACTCTAAAACAATTAAATTAGAATCCGATTAGCTAGTGCAGAAAGAAACGGAGGAAACACACAGAGCTACTCAAGAGCAATCCTACTCTGGAGCAACTGGGTTTATACTGGTTATTTCAAATTCATAATACTGTTTGGTTGACTGGCACCAATGTTAAGGAAAAATATCCGAACAAAAACTTAAATGTTGTAAGAGACTTTACCTTAAAATTCCATATTAATATTTCCAGCTTTTCTCCAAAGAAATGTACCCATTTTCTCATCTTTAGTGTCCTGAAGGCCTTGGACTTGACGGTTTGGTCACATGACTCACTCTGTAAGGTAGAACTGATCCAGTTTTGTGATTACACACAAGTTTGACTTGGATGTCCAAAGAGTTTCTTCCTTGCAGAGGGAGGAGATGAAAGGGAACCGACTACCCTATTATTTTTGCTGTCAATACTGGACCCACAGCTGTCAGTACTTTTCACAAGATGCTCTGTATGCACTTAACTATTTCCACTTTTTCTTCAGTGTTGAGCTGACAATTCTTCATTGCTACACTTCAACTAAACTGTACAGTAAGTTCTGCAGGAATGGATCCAATATTTCTACCTTTATTTACAAATATCACAGAAATGAATTCTAGTTGAATCTATAGGTTTAAATCCATCGGCTAAAAACATATTACATATTGTAAACATGGCAATACTTAATACAGTATCTATTCTAAAATATTTTCATGTCATGATCACATTTGTTATACCTGAAATTGAATTTATACACATTGGAGAATTACTTGCAATGGTTGCTCACTTTACAACTGAGGGCTACATTTTATTATTTCAGAAACATCTTCAAAGTAAAGTTAAAGCTTGTCTTTGATTGGCTCGATGTATGCTTTTTTTTTGTATCCATATTTAAAATGAAGATTGACACAGAAAATACCCTTCTAATTTACAAGATTTTAAAAAATCAGTTTAAGATTCTCAGGGAAAGTGTCTGTTGTGAAGAATAAAAAAAAAATGCTGCAAAATTAACTTAATGGAAAAAGGGACTTCGGACTGTCAGTTAAGAGTTTGTCAGGCTGTCAGTCCTGCTTGGGCTGCAGTTGCCGTTTCCACGCCTCATTCAAGTAAACTAGTCGTTTGTAGTTGATGATAAGAAGTATGAAGTTCAGCACATATGTGATGACACAGATGATGCAAAATTCCTTCAGCACAAAGTACAGAATGTAGGCCAGGTACAAAGACCCTACTACAGACACGATGGAGGATGTCATGAGGATTAAAGCTGCAACTGCACTTGCTGTCATGCCTGCAAGAGAAAGAGACACTTGGCTCAATCAGACCTTGACACTGGAGAAAAAGTTCCTGAGTTAAAAGGTAACCTTTTGTGATATGCTAGTGTCGGAAATACTGATCTTATTGCAAAACACTGAAATTTGAGAACAAAAACTAACAGCCTATTTTGTTAAGATTATGCCGGTTGACTTTGCATACCGGACACCAGTTTTATAGCTGCAATGTTTTTGACTTGTCAGTATTTTAGTTGACATGTTACTTATTTCATAAACTAGCCTTAGTCAAGGCACACAAAGAAAATGTGTAATCTTGCAATCACATGCAATGAAGCTGATTTGTAAAACTGACAGCCCCACCTTTCTTAAAAAATAAAAGGAACTTTAGGACCACAACTTTTCTTCCAAACAGGACACATTTTCCCTGACCATTTCACTACAGACTCCCCACGTGAGATATAAAACTTACTTTCCCATGTTTAGACCAAATTTGTCAAAAAATCCATAATGGGAAATGATTATACCAACATGCTGCTGAAGAAGGAAAAAGCCCCCCAAAAAAACAAACATGCAGAAAGGGCTCATCCTGGAGGATAAGGAAACCACGTTTGGCCAGGTGACCACATGTGGATCAAACCAGATCAAGAAAGGCGGCTGTGGCCCTCATGACAAAAACTTGCCTGGACTCTTGATGCTATCTGACATCTTTACATGTATTGTTTTTAATTTCCTGTAACCAACAGTATTGAAAACATGTACATTTATTTTCAAGGAGACAGCTCAGCATATTAAACTACCCTCTTACCCAACAAATGGGTAAGACTAATAGAAACAGGAAAGAAAAAATGAGAATAGATGGTAGTAGGTTTGAAGAGGTTAGTTAAGGAGCTAAAATCCACGCTGCCTGTTAAGGAGGAATGGCCTTTGGAACGCAGCCTAGCCGCTGGGGCCTGACTTGCCCATGGCACCAGTCAGTACTAAAGTATGATGCTTTGTGAAAGCTCTTCAAGACTTGGCTGGTGTGGCTCAGCTGGCTGAGCGTCATCCTGTGCACTGAAAGGTCGCCAATTCAATTCCTGGTCAGGGCACACGCCCAGGTTGCAGGCTTGATCCCTGGTTGGGGTGCGTGCAGGAGGCAGCAGATCGATGTTTCTCTCTCTCTAAAATCAATTTTTTAAAAAACCATATTTTAAAAAATGGCTAAAAAAAAAAAAGGCAGCTCTGGGTAGTTCAGTTGGTTGGAGCATCATCACGTATACCAAAAAGGTTGTGGGTTCGATTCCAGTTGGGGAGTATATGGGAGGCAACCAATCCATGTCTCCCACCCCCTACTTCTCTCTAAAATCGATCAACATATCCTTGGGTGAGGGTTTAAAAAAAAAAGGAAGGCTCTTTAAGACTAACATGCTGTTGAATTATTTATGCCAGGGACTAGCAAACCTGACCAGCCACCTGATTTTGTGAGTGAACTTACTGGAACCCAGCTACACTCACTGATCTATGTAATGCCTGTTGCTGCTTCCACACTAGAATGGCTGAGCTGAGTAGTTGTGACAGCAAAACCTCAATTATTTTCTATCTTGCTCTTTACTAAAAATATTTGGTGACCTCGCTGATGCTAAACATCTAAAACTTCAAAAATTATTCTGCCCCCTTACTTTTAACCTAAGAAAGTTAGTTTCAAAATGATATGGACAAATTATTTACTTTCTCTGTGCCAATCTTTTCCTTAACTGTAAAATTGGGATAATAACCATGACTACGTCTTAATACTATTGTGCAGATTCAAAAGGCTAATAGGTATAAACACTTAGAATGTTTCATAAACATTAGCTATTAGTTAAGTACTATTGTACCAAACTTGTCCTAATGTAATGTAACTAGTGGCTTGGGATAAAACTTCCAGTGGAGTTTAAAATGTGCTATAACTCTGAACAGATGATTGTACAATCAAGCAATGGAATATTCTTGCAGCTATAAAAAAGAATGAAGACATTTAATATACTATTATGGAAAGGTCACCACAATGTCAGTCAAACAAAACAAAAAGTATGTAAAGCAGTGTGTATAGCTTTTGCCTTTTTAGAAAAGAGGAAGAAAATTAAGATTATATATTTAATTTTTTTGTATATGCCTAAAGAAACTATAACAAACAGCAACAAGAAGCTACCAGTCGGGTGAGAGGCAGAGGGGAACAATGGTGGGACAGACTTTTCACTGTGTAGTATTTTATTTTATTTCTTTTAACTTTTGAACCATGTGAATTACCTACAAAAAACTTAAATTAAAAATGCTGTATCTCAAACAACTTAGAAGGAAGTGAAAATGATGTGCTCTGGAAACTGTGGATGAAGTCAAATGTAACTCCAATGGTAAAGACAATGACATTAAAAATGCATAAAATATGAATAGAAAAAATATATATGATTTAAAATATCTATACATAATATTAAATAGTATAAATAAAAGTTTGTTCCACCTCTAGCTTCAAAAATTAACATAGTCCAAAGCATTTCTTAGGCTATTTTAATTTGGGCTTAGAAATCCAAAGAAAACAAACTGAATAAAAAGTGAAAGTCTCACCTCTGGCTCCCAACCACCCGAACTTTTCTTATGCATTTACATGCATATGTATAAGCATATAGTTGTCCTACAATTGGCTTTTTTCACTAAACTGTGCCTTTCTCTTTTCAGGATACACATGTAGACCGACTTTCTCCTTTAGTGGCTACACTGTTTTCTAATATGGATGTAACCTAATTTATTCAACCATTATGTTTTGCTAAGCTACTTCCAATTTTTTGCTTTTAAACTGTCCTGCTATGAATATCCTTATTCACATTTTTTCATTTTTACAGGATATATAAGTATGGAACTAAGGAAATTTAATAGGACTATTGAAGAACACAGAAGAGGTGGCAGAGCCAGCAGGTAAGAGGATGAAACAATAACTGAAATGGAAGGGCAAAAATAAACAAATTTAACTTTAAAAGTATATAAACTTTTGTACAATCAAAATTCACAATGCTAACATAAAAAAGGATACAGAATGGGTTAAAAGTTTGTAACAAATATGAAAATAGACTATAATCAGGATCCCAATAACTAAATTGGCAATAAAAGGAAATTAAAGTATAGTAGAATAAAAATAATAGCTACTAACATGTAATTATTACATTAGGTATTTTACAGAAAACAAATTTTAAAAATGAAGGCGACGAAGCTCTAGGGAAACCTGACAACTGAGGGAAAGCAGTTTGATAACACCTATTAAGCTCCATTTAAAAACCTGTTTTTGATTCATTAGTCCCATGTTTGGAAATTTACTCTATGGAAATAATTCAGAGGGAAGGTTGAGTGTGAGAAGGTGATTTTAAACAAAGTTGATCACAGTGTTACTTAGACATTAAAAAAACTGAAACCTGATGTCAACAATAATAAAACATTTATGAGGATAGACAACGTAAGAATGTGTATAAAAATAAAGTGAAAAAATCAGAAGACAATGGAAATAGTGGGTATGTAAAGGTGATGGAATTATGAATATCATTAACCATTAATGTCTTCACAAAGCATATATTTTTAAATAGCTAATGTGTATATAAAATAGTAAGGAAACAAGTTTCTAGGGAAGACTGGAGCAGTAATTTCCCTGAATGGGACTAGTTTTTACAGACATCATGGGATGCCAAAATCCCTGATTAAACACTAACAGATACCAAGTTCAGCATTAGTGTAATCAAAATAGTAATGAACCAAGTTTCACAGCACAATAATGTGTAACAAACTAATGGTTCTATCATTAACATATGTTTTTATTTAATATAAAGACACACTTCAGGGTAGACACAAAGTACTAAATGGAATGTAACATAAAATAACTTATTTTTGTATTGCTGCATAATACTTACCAAGTAATAACTGTAGTATATAAAATATAAGTCCAAAGACACTGTTTGGCTGGTTTAATACACCATCCTTTCCAAAAATGGAACCCAAAAGACCAAATCCTCGACCCCATCTGTAAAATAAGGAAAACCAGTAACCCTATATTTGAGTTTTCCTATTTTGAAAAATGTAAAATTATCTGAGAATGTTATGCCAATATACCCATCTGATTCTCTAAATTGCCAATTTCTATAGTCTCTTTACCAAAAGGTAGGACAAAGTACTCTTTTTTTGATGGCATTAGTATTTGCAGAGGAAGGGCTCTCTCAAAAGAATTTTTTTATTTATTGATTTGAGAGAGACACTGATTTGTTGTTCCACTTATTTATGCATTCATTGGTTAATTCTTGTGTATGCGCAAACCAGGGATCAACCCTGCAACCTTGGCATATTGGGATAACGCTCTAACCAACTGAGCTACCCAGCCAGGGCTGGGCTCTCTCAGTTTCAGCTACAGTTTCTTAGCAGTGGCACCACTGACATTTTGGGCTAATTTTTTGTGGTAGGAGGCAGTTCAGTGCATCACAGGGTGCTTAGTAGTATCTTTTGTCCCTACCCATTATATGCTAGTAGTACCCTGCCAGTTGTGACAATCAAAAATATCTTCACCTCGCCAGACGTGGCTCAGCGGTTGAGCATCGACCTAGGATCCAGGAGATCGAGGTTCGATTCCCGGTCAGGGCACATGCCCAGGTTGAGGGCTCGATCCCCAGTCGGGGGCATGCAGGAGGCAGCCAATCAATGACTCTCCATCATTGATGTTTCTATCTCTCTCCCTCTCCTTTCCTCTCTCTGAAATCATTAAAGATATATTTAAAAAAACAAAAAACAAAACTTTCAACCATTGCCAAATGTCCTCTGGGGGCAGTTGAAATCATTGATGTAAACTCTCCTATCTGTTCATTCAAAGTAGACAGACAGAGAGGCAGGTCCAAAATGGTGGCGTAGGAGGATGCAGAGCTTGCCCCTCCCAAAAACACATCCAGTGTACACCTATGTTTAGAGCAATTCCTCCTGAGAGCCAACTGAATAGCTTCTGCACAATAAACAATAGAGAGACACCACATAGAGAAGGCTGGGGAACCGCAGGAGCTCTCCAGAAGCTGAGGAAACTCTCCAGGAATAGAGGAACTGGTGAGAACCACTGTTTACATTTTCCCTGTACCTGGATAACAAGTGGGAGCTCTATCCAGGTTCTCTGGCCAACCTGCAGGGCTGCCCTAAATCTGCGCCTGGCCAGGCAGCAGATGAGGCACCACCACACACACCCACTACAACCAGCCTGCCAAAACCCATCTGGTACACAGTCTACACAGAGGGTACTTTTCAAGACTGGGAGAGAATCTAACTCATAGGAATAAACACAGGAAGTCAAACAAAATGGGGAGATAGATAATATGCCCCTAATGAATAGGGAAATACCCCCCCCCAAAACCTAATAAAATGGAGATAAGTAATTTGCCTGATATAGAATTGAAAGTAATGGTCATAAGAATGCTCAACAAACTTGAGAGTAGAATAGAAGAACTCAGAGAACACTTCAAAAAGTTTAAAAATGTAATAAAGAACCAATCAGGGATGAAGAATAAAGTAACTGAAATGAATAATACATTAGAAGGAATCAACAGCAATACAGTTAATACAAAAGAACAAGTTAGTGACCTGAAAGACAGAATAGTGGAAATCACCCAATCACAACAGCAAAATGAAAAAAGTTTTAAAAAATGAGAGTAAAGGTGACCTCTGTGATAACATATATCAAGCGCTCTAAAATTCACATTACAGGAATTCTGGGAGAAGAGACAGAGAAAGGGGAAGAAAGTATATTTGAAGAAATAATGGCTGAAAAGCTTTCCTAATCTGAGGAAGGAAACAGACATCCAGGTCCAGGAAGCACAGAGTTACAAACAAGATGAACCCAAAGAGGCCCACACTAAGACACATTGTAACTAAAATGGGAAAAGTTAAGGATAAAGAGTCAATCTTAAAGGCAAGAGTGAAAAAACAAGTCACGTATAAGCAAAACCCCATGGGCTATCTATCAGCTTATTTCTCAGCACCAACCCTATAGGCCAGAAGGAAGTAGCAGGAACCTATAACCTAGAATACTATATCTGACCAGGTTATCATTCAGAACTGAAGGAACAATATAGAGTTTCACAGACAGGCATATCCCTGGCCATGAGGCTCAGAACAAACCCCTGACCTTTCATATCAGTGGTCATGCATTTCAGACCCACCTCCCACTTTCCCTCCATAGAGATAAACATCTAGACCTCGGCTGTATTTCAGCTCCAGGCACAGAAAAGCAGCAAAACCAGGCAGGCGATGACAGGACCAACTGTGATGACCAATGACCCCCCTGCTCTGGTGCTGACCAATGACTCCCTGCCCTGGTGCCGACCAATCAGTAGAGATACCACACCCCTGAAGGGGCACACCTAGAAAAGTTGACAAATATTCTATTAAGACCCTCCCCTAAACTCCCAGCCTTTAAAACCCTCAAGACAAAGGACCCAGCACGCTCTCTCCCTCCCAGGAGCACACCTGCACCTCCTGAACACTAAGGGACCCCCATGAGACTTACAACCAACCAGGGGAGTAATGGGCAGCATCAGCTCGTCCTGGGCTAACCCCCTGAACCTGTCCACAAGGCCCCCTTTTCTCTGACTCTCCAGTGAGCTGACAGCAGCCCCGCCTTGACACTTCTTTCACTGTGACTTTTAGTTCTCAGTGAGCCAAAGCAGTCATACCTAGTCTCTCTCCTGTTTCTTCTTCTATCCTAGGCCCTTCCTTGTTTCACTATCCCCAGCTTTAATAAATGTACTCTCAAAAACACCTGGACTCATACTGTGAAATCTTTCCTGCACAAAGTCAAGAACACATACACTACAGGTCGGCCCCAGGCGGACCTGCTCCATGCCATCCCTTTCTGGTAACAAAAGTTGGAGACTTTAATAATCCACTTACCTCAATGGAGATATCATCTAGACAGAAAATTAATAAGGAAATAATGGCTATAATGCCACCTTAGACCCAATTAACTTAATAGACATTTATAAAATATTTCATCTCAAAACTGCAGATTATACATTTTTCTCAAATGCACATGGAACATTTTCCAGGATAGACCACATATTAGGCCACAAAACAGACTTCATTCAAAAAGACAAATTATATCAATTATATCAAGCATATTTCCTGACTACAATGGCATGAAACTAGAAATCAACTACAGGAAGAAAACTGGAAAAAACACAAATATGTGGAGATTAAATAACATGCTACTAAACAAGCAATGGGTGAAAGATTAAACAGGAAATAAAAAACTACCTTGAGGAAAAAGAAAACCCCACAACTTTAAAAAATTTATGGGATGCAGCAAAGGCAGTTCTAAGAGGGAAGTTTATAGTATATAGGCCTATCTCAAGAAACAGAAAAAAATCCCAAATAAACTATCTAACTTTACACCTAAAGGAATTTAAAAAAGAACAAACAAAACCCAAAGTAAGTAGAAGAAAGATAATAATAAAGAGTGGAAAGGAATAAAACAGAGACTAAAAAACATAATAGAAAAGATCGATGAAACTAAGAGCTGGTTCTTTGAAAGGATAAAAAAAAATAAAAAATCGACAAACCTCTTGCAAGACTCATCAAGAAAGAGAGAGCCCAAATCAATAAAATCAGATGCTAAAGAGGAGATTACAACCAACACCACAGAAATACAAAGGACATTAAAGAATATCAAAGAAATATAAAGGACCATTGTATATGGCATATAATGAACAATTATATGCCAACAAATTGGACAATCTAGAAAAAAAAAAATTTCTAGAAACATAAAAACTTCCAAGACTAAATCAGCAAGAAACAGAGAACTGAAAAGACCAGTTACTAGCAGTGAAATTTAAGCAGTAATAAAAAAACTCCCAACAAACAAAAGCCCAGATGGCTTCACAGGTAAATTCTACCAAATATTTAAAAAATTAAAATCTATCCTTCTCAAACTAGTCCAAAAAACTGAAGAGAAATGAATGCTTCCAAACTCATTCTACGTCAGTATTACCCAATACCAAAACAAAAGATGCTACAAAAAAAGAGAATTACAAGTCAATATTCCTGATGAACATAGAGGCAAAAATTCTCAACAAAATACTAGCAAACTGAATTCAACAATGCATTAAAATGTTTATATACCACAATCAAGTGGGATTTGTACCAGGAATACAAGGGTGGTTCAAAATCCACAAAATAATATTATTCATCTCATCAACAAAACCAACGATAAAAACCATACAATCACCTCAATAGATGCAGAAAAGCATTTGACAAAATTCAACATCCATTTATGATAAAAACCCTCAACAAAGTGGGCAGAAGGTACTTACCTCAACATGATAAAGGCTATATACAACATTATAGTCAATGGTGAAAAGCTGAAAGCTTTTCCTCTAAGATCAGGAACAAGACAAGATATTCATACTAAAAACAATTATTCAATATAGTATTAGAAACCTTAGCCACAGCAATAAGAGAATAAAAGGCATCCATTTGAAAGGAAGAAGTAAAACTTACTATATACAGATAACATGATACACTATATAAAAAAACCCTAAAGAATACATTAAAAATTAATAGAATAAGTGAATTCAGGAAAGTCACAGAACACACAATAAATATACAGAAACCCATTGTGTTTTTATACACTAATAATGATCAGAAGGAGAAATAAGAAAAGAATCCCATTTATAATTGCATCTAAAAGAATAAAATACCTAGGAATAAATTCAACAAAATAGGTGAAAGAGCTGTACTCTGAAAACTGTAAGACATTAAAAAAAACCCTCAATAGAACACAAATAAATGGGAGACTATACCATGCTCATGGACTAAAAGGATTAATATTGTTAAAATGACATAATACTCAAAGCAATCTAAAGATGTAATGCAATCCCTATCAAAATACTGATGGCATTCTTCTCAAAACTAGAACAAAATAATCGTAAAATTTATATGGAATCATGGAAGTTCTCGAATAGCCAAAACGATTTTGAAGAAAAAACCCAAAGTTGGAGGTATCATGCTCCCTGATTTCAGACTATACTACAAAGCTATAATTATCAAACTATACTACATAAACAGAAACATAGATCAATGGAACAGAATGGAGAGCCCAGAAATAAAGCCTTGTTTATATGGTCAATTAATCTATGACAAAGGTGTCATAGAATATACAATGGAGAAATGTCAGTTTCTTCAACAAGTGGTGCTGGGAAAATTAAACAAATACATGCCAAAAAATAAAACTGTAGCACTTTCTTACACCACATACAATAATAAACTCAAAATGGATTAAATATTTAAATGTAAAACTAGAAACCATAAACTCCTAGACGAAAACATAGGTAATAAGTCTGAGTAATACCTTTGTGGATATGTCCCCTTGAGCAAGGGAAACAAAAGCAAAAATAAACAAATGACACCCGGCCAGTCTGGCTCAGTGGTTGAGCATCGTCTCATGTACCAAGAGGTCACTGGTTCAATTCCTGGTTAGGGCACATGCCCGGGTTGGGGGCTCAATCCCTGGTGGGGGCCATGCGGGAGGCAGTTGATCTATGTTTCTCTCTCATCGATGCTTCCCTCTCTCTCCCCCCTTTCCTCTTCCTCTCTCTCTAAAAATCAATAAAAACATATTTTAAAACATAAAATAAGTGGAACTTCATCAAACTAAAAAGCTTCTGTACAATGAAGAGAAGCTTCAAGAAAACAAAAAGACAACCTACTGAATGGGAGAATGTATTTGCAAATGATATATCCGATAAGGGATTGATATCCAAAATACATAAGGAACTCATACAACACAATAACAAAAAATAAAAATAAACCAACAGTCTTATTAAAAATAGGCAGATGACACAAAGAGAGATTTCTCCAAAAAAGGTGTACAGACGACCAACAAACATGAAAAGATGCTATATACATCACTAATTATCAGGAAAATGCAAATCAAAACCACAATGAAATACCACCCACTCCAGTCAGAATGGCTATTATCAAAATGTCAACAAATAACATGTGTTGGTGAGGATATGGAGAAAAGGGGACCCTCATGTCCTACTGTTGTTTGTGGGACTGCAACCTGGTGTAGCGACTATGGAAAACAGTATGGAGATTCCTCCAAAAAGTAAAAGTAGATCTACCACATGACCCAGCAATTACACTTCTGGATATTTATCCAAAGAAAATGAAAATACTTATTTAAAAAGATACATGTACCTTATGTTCACTGCAGCGTTACTTATAATAACCAAGATATGGAAGCAACCTAGATATCAACTGATAGATGAATGAATAAAGAGGTGATAATACAATGGGATATTACACAGCAATAAAAAAGAATGAAATGTTTTCATTTATGATGACATGGATGGACCTAGAAGATATTATGCTAAGTGAAATAAGTCAGAGAAAGACAAATACCATATGGTTTCACTTTTAAGTGGAATCTAGAAAAACAAAATGAACAAACAAAACAAAAACAGACTCAGAGAAACAGAGATCAAACTGGTGGTTGCCAGAAATGTTCAACATCATTAGCCTTAGGGAAATAAAAATTAAAACCAAGTATCACTATACATGTATCAGACTGGTTAAAATAAAAAAATAGCAACCACACCAAATGTTGGTGAAAATAAGGAAAATTTGCATCTCTCAGGCATCGTTGCTAGGAATATAAAATAGTACAGCCTCTCAGGGAAACAGTTTGGCAGTCTCTTATAAAAGAAAATATGCAACTTCCATATGACCCAACAATTACACTCTTGGGCATTTAACCCAGAGAAATAAAAACTTATGTGCACTCTGAAACCTGTGTTCATAGCAGCTGTCACAGCAGCTTTATCTGTAATAGTCAAAAACTGGGAACAACCTAGATGTCCCTCAACAGGTAAATGGGTAAACAAACTCTGGTATGTCCACACCAGGAAAAAAACAGTACTTAGCAATGAAAGGAACAAACTATAGATGCATGCAACTCGAATAGATTGCAAGAGAATTTGTTGAGTGAAAAAGAGCCAGTTCCATAAGGCTACACACTGCATGATTCCATTTGTATATCATTCTTGAAATGACAAAATTATGAAATGGAGAGCAGACTAGTGGTTGCCTGGGGTTAAGAGAAAATGGGAGTGGGAGGGAGACTATACAGGGCAGCATGAGGAGTCCTCCTGAGAGTAGGAATGTTCCTTCTTGACTGCACCAACGCTAATATTCTATTATGACATTATACTCTAGTTCTGCAAGAGGGTACCACTGGAGAAACTAGATAAAGACCACAAAGAGTCTCTCTGTATTAATTCTTACAACTGCATGTGAATCTACAACGATCTCTAAATAAAAAGTTTAATTTAAAAAAACAAGCAAGCACTGGCCGGTGTAATTCAGTGGTTGGAGCACTGGCCCATGCACTGAAGGGGTTGAGGGTTTGATTCCTGGTCAAGGGCATGTACCTGGGTTGCAGGCTAGATCCCCAGCCCTGTCCCTAGTTGGGGCGGGGGCAGGACACAACCAATTGATGTGTCTCTCTCCCATCAATGTTGCCCTCCCTCACTTCCATTCTCTCTCTAAAAAACAAACAAAAATGTATGTAAACCAACAACTTTCACCAGGATATGCATTAGGAAACATATCCTGGGAACATATCTTTAAATATAGAACAGTATCAGAAACTACAGGTTTTTCCTAGAACCGTATCTCAAGAGTATAAAACTGATACATTACATTTGCAGTTTAACTTCAAATTTTGCATTTAACTTAACATTTTCAGAATCTTATTTTCTTACTTTAAAAATGATTATTAAATTCTGATTTGATAAAATTTGATACAAATATCAAACTAACATTTACTTTCAATAAAAACCTT